GAAGCTGAAATAAAGAGAAGAGAGTTACCAGAAAAAGGATTAGAAAAAGATTTTTTAGACCAAGCCAAAAAAAAAATGACTTTTACAGAAAGCAATTTTCTTTATCGTCAAATCACTTCTGCCCTCGGATATACCTTCAATAAGGCCCATGCCGTGGCCTATGGATATTTAACTTACTACATTGCCTACCTGAAAGCAAATTTCTTTCCGGAAATTATTATTCATTTATTAAATGAAAAAAAAGAAAAAACTTTGTCATATTTACAGGAAGCATTTTTTCATGGGTTTCTACCAAAAGAGCCCGATATCAATCATTCAGAAATAGGTTGAGTCAAAAAAGATAAACTTTTGCTAATGGGTTTTTCTGGTTTAAAAGAATATAGAGAAGATTTTTTCCAAAACATACTCGAAGAAAGAAATAAAAGAGGAGTTTATAAGAACTGAGAGGACTTTCTCAATCGAACAATTAACTATTGAGAAAAGATGGAAAACATTGCTTTTGAAACTTGAGTAAAAAGCGGTTTGTTTAATAGTCTAGGAGTAGATACTAGTAACCTGCTAGAAAATCAAGAAGCGATTTTTCGTTATTTGCAAATACGACAAAGAATTCCTGTAGTCGGCAGTAACTTGCCATTTCTTGATTTGTCGACTAGCCAGTCGGAAACAAATAAATCATTAGTAAATCAGAGAGAAAATGAAAGTTTAGGTTTCTATATTAGTTATTTTTCCCGCTGAAAAGAATTAACCGCAAAATCAGAGCAAAAAATTCACTCTTTGGTAGATATTTTTACAAAAATTGAGGAATACGATGACCGTGAGGCACTGGTAAATATTTACGCAGTTATTAACCAAATAGAAAATAAAAAAGAAGTTGATAACCGTGATGAAGGTAATTATTCCCTTCTATTACAGGATATTAGAAATTCTTTTAAATTAAACATCAGTTCTAGTATCTATCAAGCAAATAAAGAAATAATAACAATCCACAATGAATTGATGTTTACCCTAAAAATTAAAGCAAGAAATAGAAAGATCGTCTCTATGGCTTGTGAAAAAATAGATAGTATTCCATAAAACGAGGATAGAAGGAGAAAAATATTCATATGAAACCCTTTGTCAAATGAGCAGGAGGAAAAACCCAGTTTTTAGAAATTATTCAATTGCTAGCCCCTAATCCTTATGAAAAATTTATTGAACCTTTTGTCGGCGGTAGAGCAGTTTTCTTTTCTTTCCAACCTCAGCAATTGATTATTAATGACAATCAACAGTGAATTAATAACTACTTATCAAACCATTAAAGAACAACCTCAACAAATTATTAAATTACTAACTGAATACGAAAAAAAACATAATCAGGATTTTTATGAAACTTTAAAAAGGCAGGAACCTAAAAACTTTTCTGATCTAGAAACTGACACCCGCTTCATCTATCTAAACAAAACTGGTTATAAATGGTTTATATCGAGTTAATGGTCAAGGGAAGTTTAATGTTCCTTTCGGGCAAAGGAGGGGGAAATTTTACGTTTAACTTTGATGGGGTTTGAAAAATGACTAGGAAAATCAGAAGAATTAAAATAACAAATAATATGCCTACTAATTTGGAAAATTTTTACAAAGACCTTGAACAAAGAGGAATAATCGCTAATGTTGCCAATTTAAAAGAAAACTTTTACCAATTAGAACCGAAAGATAAAGTAGTTTATTTGGGAATAGATTGTACGGGTGAAAGGCTCCATATCGGACATCTATTTTTATACTTCCAAACCGTTCGCTTCGCCCATGCTGGCTTTGCGGTGCTACTGGTTTTAGGCGGAGCCACCAGCAAAATTGGCGACCCGAGCGACAAAGATAAAGAACGACCTTTATTAGACCAAAAAGATATTGAAAACTATCAAACCAAAATAAGGTCTCAACTCGAAAAAATACTAATTAAGACCAAAAAAATCGGAAAAACAGAGTTTTCTCCCCTGGAGCAATTTTACTCTGATAATCTTGAACTGTTAAATAAAATATACCAAATTTTAAAAATTAATCCGGAAGCAAAAAAAGAACAACAATGAGCCATTTATTTAAATCACATTTGACCTTTAACTGGAAAAACCAACTTTCAAATTTTAAATAATAAAGACTGGCTAGAAAAAATAAATTTGATTGATTTTTTACGTCAAACTGGTAAGTACCTAGCCGTTGCTTACTTATCTAATAAAGAGCCTGCTAAAAAGAGGATAAAAACTGGACTCTCTTTTTTAGAGTTTAGCTATCCTCTCATTCAAGCTTATGATTTTTATTATTTACACAAAGAATATAATTGTCAGGGGCAACTCGGGGGAAGCGACCAGTGAGGAAATTTAACTACGGGGTTGAAATTAATCGGAAGCCTTCATGCTGAGAAAAAAATTGAAGCAAGAGAAAACAAGACTTTTGCTTTTAACTTTCCATTATTAACAGATAAAGACGGAGAAAAATTTTCTAAAAGCGGAGGGAGTAAAATAATTTGGTTAGACAATGAGCCAGAACACCAAAAAGATTTTTTTGACTTTTTTTGCAACATGTCGGACAAGCAGGCTAAGATTTATATAAAACAATTTACCTTTTTAGAGGAAAAACAAATTGAGGAATTATTAAAACTAACTGAAAATAATCCACCACAACTAAGGATATTACAAAGGATTTTAGTTGAATTGGTTTGATTTCTCAACTATGGAGAGTTAAAATCACTCAAAAATGTGTTAGAAACTCGTGAGAAGAAAAGAAAAAACATCCTGAAATAGAAACCGCTTTATCTTGCTTTAGTTTTTTTAACTTCTATTTTAAACCACGGGTCGCACTTGTAAAATTAATCATATGGAAATCGAAATATATGTAGAAATACCCAAAGGCAGTTCTGATAAATATGAATATAATCCAATTACTAAAAAACTAGAATTAGATAGAGTTTTATCA